TTGGAGAGTGGGAGAAAAAGAGGACAAGTGTTTATTCTCAGTCCTTTGGTGGGCCACATTTTGGCAGTGGCTACATTTCTCTATTTATAGTCACAGCTTTTTTCAGGTGTCCCCTTCCAAACTACAGTTCTTACTGGGTTCCTTCCCCTGCTCCTTTAGGCTTAAGGCTTCTTGTGGTTACCAGTCTTTCCCATTATTACACACTTTACCATTGCTTGTTGATTCCCTTAACCCTTCCCATACTTCTGTAAATCATCCCTTTATTACGCTCTTTTTTTCCCTCTTGGAATGTGTCATCTTTAGTGTTACAAGAAGAGGCAATCGATCAGCCAGTATCTAAGGACTGCCTGCTGGGCCGACACTGTCAAGATATATAATACATGATCCTGCTCCTGAGATACTTGTAGTCCAGCAAAGGAGATAAAACCAACATACATGAAACAATTAGGAAACACTATACATAGTGAAAGACGCTTGAGTTTTTGCTACTTGGCATCCATTCACTCTTCTAATCATACCATGATTTTTCTTTTCTACCACTCTCCATCAGCGTCTTTTAGGTAGAATGGACTCCACTCTCAACAATATGAGAAAATCATGTGAATCAGGCCTAACCTACTGGATTCCTCTGGCCACATGTCTTAATTAGAGCTAATGAAATATAAGGACACTATTGCTGGCACTTGTGGGAAAGAGATATGTACTCTTCCACTGAGATTGCTAACAGTAAGGATTATGTGAACTGGAGTTGCCAGGAGCCACCATATGGAGCCTGAGAATGAAGCCAATACAGAAGACAGAGCCAATAGATGAAGCAGAATAGAATTCTAATGACATTGCTTAAGCCCTTGGATCAACCTATGCCGTAAGCTAAATATATCACTAGTTCCTCAGTTATGTGAGCCAATAGCCCTCTCTCGCTCTTTTTTTTTTTTTGCATAAGTCAATTTGAGTTGTGTTTTTTTATTTTGTCTCCTGCAATTAAAACAGCTCCAACAATTCATAAATTGGTAACAGGAGTGGGAATTATTAGTAAGAGAAAGATCTTAAAATGTTAAATCAGTTGATTCACACAAGGCCCCACCTATATTGGATTGGGAATTCAATAGCGGAATAGTAGGTTAAACTGGCACCTGTTGCACACTAGGATTCAGAACATGTGCTTATCAAGTGTGAAATGTAAAAGAGCCCGTTATTAAAAGGTCAGATACTAGAGTACATCAAGTATTACATGTTGACTTTTAGTAAGGTCCTACAAGAAAGACTCAAGTTTAGGATTAAGCTCGATTTATTTAAAGTAGAGAAGGAAAAGTACTGCTTTGTTATGAATGACCATTTTTGTTCCTAGGCTGCAATAAAATATGACAAAAACTTTAATAATCTGGAGCCATTAAAGGTTGGAAAAGCCCCAAGAGACTATTAAAGCCGATGAAGGCAAGAAATAGATAAGCTTGGTACTTGAAAGAAGAGCGAACACACCCAGGCCTCTCTCAAGCAATTCCTGTCTGCTTAGAAAGGTAATAATTATCCCATTCTGTTCCCTCCAGCACCACTACGCCCTCCCTCTCCACCCTTCCCCTTGCAAAACTAGTGGCTATTGTTTCAAATTGTTCTCAGGCAGAAACCAGAATGGAGGCCATTAAGCTAGAAGAATACCAAGGCCTAATATTACTCATATTGGAATTTAGATGCAAAGACTGCAGCTTAAGACGAACTCTGGCTCTGGAGTTTTTCCCCCCATAGAATTAGCCAGATATAAATGGACTGAAAGTTTACTAAGAATGCAAGAAAATTGTGTTGTGAGAGAAATCCTGTCTGAAGAACAAAGGCTAGGTTACTTAGTTTTAGCACTAACTGCTGTAACAGGTAATGCACAAGTTTGAGTGGTTTAACACAACAGACCTTTATTTTTTCACTTTCGTAAAGTCCAATATCAGTAATCCTGATCAGCAGGTGGTCTCCTACAAGGTCATTCAGCTACCCACTCCTTCTATTTCATGGCTCTCTTATGATTATCCTCCAGGGTCTTAGGGTCCTTTCAGTGCAGCCACAGGAGGAAAAAGAAACCAGAGAAGTCATAACCTTGTTCTTAACCACATTGGCAAGAAGTGATTCACATCATGTCCACTCATATTCCAATGGAAATAATTAATCACATAACTTCTCGAGATTAACGAGAAAGCTGGGAAATGAAGCTACTTCCTAGTCACTGACTATGAAGCTACTTCCTAGCAACAACTCTGCATAACAGAAGAGAATCACACTATTTGGCAGTAAAAGCTAGTTATCTAGCTAGTTATCTCACTTGCCACAGAAGGTGATTTTACAATCCCCACTGTATCAGGAAGGAGAATGTTGAAGAGGTGTGGTCCTAGAAGGATTATCCTCCCCATTGTCCATTACAGATATGGCATAGAGGAACAGTGAATGAGAGATTCTCCAAGAGTAGAACATATGGCAGCCAGATGGGTTGATCAAAGAACTTTCTCTTCTCTTATGGTAGTAAGCCCTTGCTCTTCCTGTCCAGCTAGATATGATATATGTTATGAATTGGAGACCACTGTGTTTGTCATTAGTCATTTTTCCAAATATGAATTTTCATTGCAGTTGTTTCTCTCTTTTTCTGTCATAATATTTTAAGTATTTTGTAGCTAATTTTATCATGTAGCCTTAGGTTACTACACCATGAAGGGCTCTATTGCTACATGATTACCCTGCTTTCCTAAACTTGGAACTGTCTGCGGTAACTAGATGAAACTTTGGATCATCTCTTTCCAGCGAGGAAGTGAGTACATTTTTGGTGGTAAAAGAATATTTTTGCATTGAGTAGGCATAGATATTTTTGAAGGCATATGTAGAGGAAGAATGTTTAGGGATATCAAGAGAACAGGGATGTGTGGTATGTCTGCTGTTTCCATTGCCCAGGATGCATCCACCCTTCCTCTGATAACCATACTCCCACTTTCCTAAGTGGAATCACCTTCTTGTGCCATTCATGTGTTACTGACAAACACAAGTCCTGGAATGGGCTCGTGAAACAGTCCAGGCCAATCTGACCATTTCATTCTCTTGGAAACAGTGATTGGTTTAGGAGCAGGCACTTAACCTTTGCTGGTAGTGAGGACAGTGGGAGCCTAGAGATGCTGGTTGTGTATTTTGTGGAGCTTGAGACTGAAGCTAACAGTGGAGGAAAGAGCTAACATATAAGGGAGAGTCCAAATCTTGATCATATAATTTGAACCCTTCAGTCAAGCCATCTCTCACTACCTTGAACTTTTCAGTTATGTGAGCCAATAAAGTCCCTTCTCTGTTTAAGCCAGTTTGAGTTGAATTTTATGTCACTTGCAACCACGGACCCATACTGAATCAATACTGTTGTGTGAGGGTAGATCTATATATAAATATACATAGGAATAAAAGTACATGTATACACTTGTACATGTAAATATCTAACTAAAACTGTAGATTGCAGAGTGGTTCATAGGGGAAGAGGGAACTAGATTGGGGCAAGAGTTTTAAAATCAATCAGAAGAATTTAAATGTAAATTTAAATTTTATAGTCATGAAATTATCAAAGCAAGAAGAGATGTGCTAAAAGTGAAGATTTAGGATGATTATTCTAGCAGGTTAGATTGGAGCAGAAAGAGAAGGAAGTCAGAATGACTGTAGAGAGACTGTAGAACTAGCTAGCTCTGGGTGGCAGCATTCAACTTAGACAGAGACCATGAAGTAGAGACAGAGAAAGGGATTTGACAAGATATAGTTTAAAGGATAAATCAAAGGCCCTGGTGACTGGTTGGATAAAAGGAATAAAGAGAAAGAATGAGTCAACAATGACATCCAAGTATTCAAGCTTTGGTGGCAGGGAGAGCAGTGGTACCAGTGAGAGAGAAAGGAAATGATTTTAGAAAGACAGTAAGATTGGTTTTGGACCTGTTGAAATTGAAGAAATAACAGAACATCCAATTAGAAGTGTTGGTTAGGTAGTTGAAGATGTATGCAACCTAGGACAAAGGTGACATTAAAGGTAATGATCTGCACAGAAGAAATATGAAGCAGCAGTTGAAGATGAGTACCAGGCGGTGAGAGAAAAGCAGAAACTAATACTTTATGTTATACCCCAGAGGGAAAACTGGTATCCAAAGTGAAGTGGATCTAGTGCTTGGTGGAGACAGAGAAAGAAAGCAAGAACACCTTAGTGCATAAAAAGCTTAGAGAAAAGCATCAGATGATGTTAAAAGCAAATGCTAAGCCCATGCATACCATGGTCTAAATGGCACTGGACTGATCAGCCTATCTCCAGCTGTTCTTCTTGTTCATTGAACAGCATTCACATTGGCCTCCTTGCTTTCTAGTAATTCAAACTTACCACTCTCTGGCCTAAGAGCCATTGTACTTGCTTTTGTCTCTACCTGAAAAGTTATTCCCTCATTCATTTGCTTGGCTTTCTTCTTCATTTCATTCAGATCTCTTTTTAAACATAACTTCATCAAAGAAGCCTCTCTAAATCAACATACCTAAAATATGAAATAACACATTACTCCCACCTGCATCACTGTCTGTCCTTCTACTCTGCTTTGTCTTCATAGCACTTAGTCATTACATATTATACTGTAGATCTGTTTGTAAATGTATTGTCTGTCTCCCTCATTAGAGGAACTGTAATGGGATTCCAGGAGTGCAGGGGCTTGTATTATATACTGATGTATCCATGTAAGTACGACAAGGCCTGGCACACAGATATCACCCATAAAAGCTTGTTTGATGATGAATGAGTGAAATGCAGTAAATGAGATGGAAAAAAAATCAGAAGGCTGTTAGTCACTTGAATTCCTAGAACATTCCTATCATTTCAGCCAAAAACTCTGCTTAAGACTCCCGCTTTTGCTTCATCTCCCCAAGGCAAAGGGAATTTAAGTAAGTTTGCTACTACTAAGGCAAGGCCTTGCAGTAATACCTTCTTGGATGAGTCTGGAAAGAATGCTATTTCTCCCGAGTTAACCCGTTAAGAAGAGACATCTTTAATGCCGGATTTGACAAGAGTTCTTTTTCCATCCCAGCTCCAAGTAGAGCTCTGAGAGAAAAAGGAAGTGGTGTGGCTGAAAGATTCAAAGGTGCCAAAGTATTTCTCTTCCTGAGGATCAGCAACCAGGTGGATTTTGGAATGATAACAACTTGGAGGAGCAAGCGTCACATGCTAGGCGAAAAAGGGCACCAAGGGAAATCTCCGTTGATTCTTCTTTACCACCCAGCTTGCTACCGCGGCCTGTACAGAAACAAGCATACCAACACTTGAGGAGATAGTGGCGCTTTCACCAAATTTCCCTTCCCGAAGGCTGCTCCCCGACCTCTCCTCTTCTCCCCAGCCGCCCCTCCCAAGCTGCAAGCTCAGCCTCCGATTTCCGCTGATCTCGCCGGCAGGGAGCCCCAGAATCCAATTACTTTTCCCAAGGGAACGCCAACCACCTTTCTAGCCGCTAAGGGAGAGCCGGAGTCGGCGAAGCTCAGAAGCTAACCCTCCCCCGCCGCCCGGGCCTCAGGGCCCCGGCAGCCGCGGGCGGGGCGAGCAGAGCCGTGAAGGGGCGCGCGGTGCTGCCTTTGGGACTATTTGTCCTTCCGCGCACGGCGCTGCGAACCCGCCGACGTCGGCCCGGCTGAGTGGCAGGAGATTAGCCAAGGGCTTCCCCCGCTGCGCGCCCCTCGGCCAATCGGCGGCGCGCGGGCCGTGCCCGAGGGTCGTGCACACGCACATTCCAGAATCCACGCCTCACACGAACATCCTCGATCCCGCGCACGCCCCCTGCCCACCCGCCCCCTGGGCCGCGCGCGCGCTTCTCCTCGGGGCCTTCTCCAGGTTCCGGCCTTGATACTGCTCTCTAAAGTGAAAGTGAAATGAGGACTGAAGGCCAAGAGGTCTGTAGGAAAAGGATATTTAGCATCTGTGTCAAGGTTTACACTTCTGCACCACCATCCAGGTTTACTTAACTGCCTGGAGTGAAGCTACTGAGACTCTCTAGTAAGAGGATCTTAAATTGGTAGATTTGTCACTGGGTTTTCAGTGGTGGTCAGAGCACTTGATTTATCCTTTCTCCATCTGGACAAAATTAAAAAAAAAGAAGAAGAAGAAGAAGAAGTCACACTATCCGGCCCACATTGTCAGACTTATGAGGCTACAACTGACATGCTCCCTTGAAGGAGAAAATACTCTATTGTGCCTTGTTTTCTCTTTTGAATTGAATTCTCCTGAGACTGTGCTGACCCTTAGGCCCATGGCAGTCCTGAATGTGATTGACATGCATGATTAGCAGGCTAGTAAGAGAGAACCAGGGAAATTGCTATCAAAACAATTACATACAGGGACATCAGAACAATGGCTTGAGAACCCCCAGGGACTCAGTGACCATCCTAGCTCTGCCACGGATGCCCTTTGGGATCATGGCCAAGTCAGATCATCTCTTTGTGTCTTCACTGCTTCTGGTAAGTTAAAACTATTCTTACCACTCCCTATCTCAAAGTATATTATAAAAATAAACTTAGATAACTGAGTGAAAACATTGAAGGTTTTATTTTGTGGGGGAAGGTGATGATTGAAAGACAGTCTCAACAGAAAATTCTGTTAAAGGAAGCCATTTGACCATCAGCTTACAATCTGGTCATTTCAGTTAAATTTAATACACATGTGTTGAGACTAACTGTAGATATAGGGTTCTCTGCTGGGTGCTATATGGTCTTTGTGGGCGTTATAATCTACTAGGGCATCTCTGACTCCTGTATTCTCAGATCTTCTCCTATGCCTGTGCCAGTTCTCATCTCTAAGTCATGGCCATTTTCATTCTCTATTTCTGCTCTAAGGCCACAGAGTATTGCTAGATATGGGTTCAGAATGGTGCTGTGATTGGGACTTCACAAGAGCGTAAGCTGTGGTTTGGGGTTCAGACATGTCTCTGTATTTCTGTGAAACCGATGGGGCAAGGTTCCAGAAGCCTGTTTACTGGAGTGACAGACAAGCTTCTTGGGAGTGAATATGTCCTCCATGAAGGAGCTAAATAGTGTGCTTGAGACTAAGTCTTGAGAAGGGAGAGGTCCTTTTGCATTCAGTGTTGTGTACCTTGACCCTTGTCTGAGTCCAGTAGGAGTGGGGAAGGTATGAGAAAGGGAGAAAAAGATGGAAGGAGGTTAAAGGTGGAAGCTGAAATATCTGTTTCAAACTTTTCAAATCCTACATTTCACATTCATAACACATTCTCTCAGCTCTACTGGAAAAGATCAAACTATCAACGAAAGCACAAGCAAGAGAAAACCTGACTAGAGGTAGCTTTTGAAAAAATAAGGAATTTATCTCATAGAATTTTGAAATTTGGAGGAAAATGGTTCCTATACTAGTTGAGTAACTCAAGGATGTCTTCAAGGACTCAAGTGGATTTCTTCTTTCTGCTTTATCATCCTCAGATGATGGTAGTTTCTCTTGTCATCTCCCTTCGAGACTGCACCATTGCTTTTGCATTTCTTGATGTCAGATGCAGTCAGGGGCACCCAGCAAAGAAGAGAGAGGTTGTCTCCCACCTCTTTCTGTCTCTTTCACAATAAAGGAAGGGTAACCCTTTCCAGAGGCTTCTAGCAGTGTTAAGTTTCATTGGGCAGAATTGTGTTCACATACATCCTAAACTAATTACTTATAAAAAGAATGATGGCAAATATAATCTACCCTTTATGCTGGGGAGAGAAGTCACCCTCCATGAGCACACAGGAGGGTATAATCCAAACAACATTAAATTTTGCCAGAAAAAAATTAAAGCGGCTGTGGTTTAGGTCTCAAAAGTTTCTTTTATCTTTCTTTTCCTCTACTTCAAAATGTTTCTATATCTACTCTCCTACATCACTTCTAAATTTTTCTGTCTTCTTCCATGTTTTTCTTTACTACCTCAATGGAGAGGTAATCTAGCTCTCTTTCAGGACCTGGTCCTCCATCTAAGACCTTGCTTTTGTCCTAGCCCCTTACAGTGGTCCCTAAACCACATACAGTAACCTGCAGGCTGTTCCACCTAGCACTCTGTTAATGAGATTCAGAGATGATCTGAAGCCCCTTTTGTTTTCCCAGGAGAATCCAGATTGAAAGATGCAGGGACTTGTCCAGATCTTGTTGGGTGAGACTGGGGCAGGAGTGGGGAAGTGAGGACCAAGGGCAAGCTTTAGCCTTTCTTAACAGAGTTCTATATCCAGTGCTTCTCTGTCTGCCTCAGCAATGTGGAAGTGCCATGTGGTATCCTTAGCTATCTAGCTTCAGACTACCTCCATTTTGCCCTCACCCTCAATACCAATACTGATCTCCTGGAGATTGGGTTCCATTCTGTTTTTCTGGGACACAACCTAGGGGAATGCTGATAATGGCTTAACTTGAACCTGAAACTTGGTTCATTTCTTTCCTATACTCATATTCATTCCTTTTTTTCATTTAACAAATATTAAATGTTGACTCTTACAAATCCTGAACTATGGGTTAGGAGACACTGATGAATAAGTCAGAATTCTCTGCCTTCAGTGCGTTTATATTCTGGTAGGGAGACTTTGTCTCTCCACAAGGATTGGCATGGAACTCCAGGTTATCTTGCAGGGAGCAGAATGGAAATAAAACTTGAAAGCAAGGCTGAGTCATTAGCTCTATGCAGCATAACCCATGTTTAGTCTAAATTATTTTGATCTTTACACATCTTTTCACAGAGGCCATTGTTTCAGACAATTGCTGTTTCCAGCAATATAAACACTGTGTAGGGCAATGCACTCATGGTACAGTACATTTTATTAATAACATGCCTTGTCAGCTGAACAGGCTAGGCTATGGATGGATGAATACAGCAAAAATGAACCTGTATCTGATACAAGTTTGGGCATCATCAGAGTTTACCGTATCTCTGCTCACAGTCAGGAACCTGGCAGCTCTTATTCAGCAGAATAGTATATAGATATGTTGTCAGGAGATAAAAATACTGTAACCTACCTTTCTTTGGCTATACTTGCTTAAGGATATATGGTAAAATCAAATTTTAAAATTTACCCAGCTTTATTATTCCCATTTTGTTTTTAGTAGAAAAAATGTGCTACACTATATTGAAATATAAAACTGCTTATGTATTTTCTACCAATAGTACTTCTGCTTCAGATGGTGTCATGGAGCCTCAGTAACTAATTTATCTTGACAGCATCTGAAGCAGAAGTAAACCAATTTGGACTGCGGGTCCTGAAATATGAATCAGAGAAGGTAGATATAGTAGAAGTGAAATGAGAGCATTTAAATGAAATGTGAACTCATCAATCTGAATGAATTCCCTTAGCATCTCAGTTCAGGAAAGAACCTGTAAGAGTTTTAATCCGTGCTCAACTCATGACGAAGTGCATGACCCTGAGCAAGTCAGTTAATTAATCTCTGTGTCTTGGTGTCCCCATTTTTACAACAGGGTTAATAAGACCTGTAGTGCACCTGCACTTTGAGTTCAGAAGAGAAAGAGAATTATACTCTTTCTGAAACGTAACTGATAATTATCAATCAATTATCAACAGGAATTTATTAAGCCCCACATTACCCATCATTATATGTCCAGGGCCTCATAAGTACCTTACACATAAATGCTAAAGAAATCTTCATTACATGAATGAATGAGTAAATGAATCAATGAGCCAACTACTGTGTGCCAGATCCTGTGCTATGGAAGACCCAAGATGATCCCTGCTTTTAAGGAACTAACCTTCCAGTGAAATAAAACATACATAGATAAAATGGTACTTAATAATCTAGGTACGAAGTGCCAGATGAATGTTAGGGTCCATCATCTTCAAACTAGAATTTCCAAATTCTCAACTTCATTATGAATTCTTCCCTGAAATTGACCTGATTGAGAATATGTCTATGGCTTTGTTACATAGAAGTATTAGAGGATGTTTCATAAGACTTTAGAATACAGAAATAACTTCATTAGAGTATTATTTTGTAAGGAAATACAATTGAAATATAAGTTCAAGGAGAAATAAAGCTATAAAGCTATTAAAGAAGAACTTGTTTATATTACTTCTTTTTATATTTTTATTGAGTTATGGCATCCATACAGTAACATGCACATACCACCGCTTGAATCAAAATACAGGTGGTGCGCCTCCCAACCCATGACCCTTTAAAGTTAATCTTCTTCCCCCCACCCCTAGAGATAACCATTAAACCATTATTCTGACTTATGCTATAGAGTACTTTAGCTTGTTTTTGGAAGTTATATGAATAGAATTATATCCTATGTGCCAGGCTTCTTTTGTTCGACATTAAGTCAGTATGACGCATCCATTGTTGCATACGCCAGAGTTCATTCTTTTGAATTGTTGCAAAACAGCTGTCTCAAAGTGTGGACTGAGGCCTCCGGGGGTGGGGGGAGGGACGTTCCTGAGAATTTTCGGTGGGAGGTGTGTGTGGGGGGGTCCATGAATCAAAATTATTCTCATATTAATTTAGGATTTTGTTTATTTGCCCTTTTCAATTCATTGATGTTTTCATCGATGATGCAAAAGCAATGGTGGTTAAAACTGCTGGCACCTAGGCACAAATATTTTTTTCTTAGGTTCATACTCTTTGTCTTCTCTGAAATATTTTTGTCTAACCTAAGGACACAAATATTTTCTCTGATACTCTTTTCTGTAAGTTTTATAGTTTTAACTTTTATTTGTAGTACTATGATCCATTTTGAGTTAATTTTTACATATAATGTGACTTGACGATCAATAGTCCTTTTTTTAATATGCATGTCCTATTGTCATAGTACTACTTATTGAAAAGACTATTCTTTCTCCCTTTCTCCATTGAATTACCTTGGCATTTTTGTCAAAACTCACTTGACCATACGTATATAACCTAGTCTCTCTCTAGACTTTGTACTCGGTTTCATTGACCTATATGTCTATCCTTTCACTAATACCGAAATTTGGGGAGAATTGTTACATTAACAATACTCAATCCTCTGATTCATGGACATGGGCTATCTCTCTAGTATTTAGTTACTCTTTAATTTCTTTTAACTATGTTATCGCAGTTTCCAATATAAAGATCTTTTGTTAGACTTATTCATAATTATTTTTGGTGCTATTGTAAATGGAATGGCTTTTTACATTTCATTTTTTAATAGTTTGCTGTTAGTATATAAAGATATATGTTTAATGTTTGCTTTAAACAGATTCTTGTGTATGAACTCCATATCTTGTGACTTTGATAAATTTAATTATGGGTTCTAGTAATTGTTTTCTAGATTCCCTGGAATTTTTTTTTCATTAATAATCATATAATTTGCAAATAGAGACAATTTTCCTATTTTCTTTTTGCTCTTAATGTCATTTATTTCTTTTTCTTTCCTTCTAAAATGACTAGGATCTCTAGTACAATGTTAAATAGATGTAGTGATGATTGCATGTTTGTCTTGTTCCCATTGGAGGGGAAAACAGTTCTG